AAAAAAAAAAAAAGATTGGTGCCAAGGGCTCAGTTGGAAGCCAGTCCATGCAGGAAAGTCCATGACCAAAAAACCAGAAGTAGAGTTGTGGCTCAACTGATAGGGCAACAGCCTTGAATGAAAAAGCTAAAGGGCAGATGCTAAGTGCCAGCCCCCGTGCTGGCACACAAACAAAAAAACAGGCGGAAGAACTTCCTGTCTGCGAGAATCAAAACTTTTTTCTGGGAGGGCCAGAAGGCCAGTCTTTCTATGTGAATGTTCTCAAGTAATGCTTTTTCTTGCTATAGCTGGAAATGCGCAAATCACAGAATGAAGCATTGTGTGAGGGGCTTCGTGTGCAAATCCGAGAGCTCTGGGACAGACTGCAGATACCTGAAGAGGAGAGAAAAGCCATGGATACTTTTATGACCGGCTCAAAGGCCAAGATCAGGAAAGCGGTAAGAAACGTAGTGGGTGTTGTATAACAGTCTTTCTTCTGTAAGATGTCCTCCCCACCTTCTACATTGGGGAACAGCAAAGGATGGCCTGTTTGCTGGTGGCTCTTGCCTGTGATACTAGCTACTCAGGAGGCTGAGATCTGAAGATCGCAGTTCAAAGCCAGCCCGGGCAGCAGAGACCTGGAGACTCCTATCTCCAATAAACCACCAGAAAACCGGAAGTGTCGCTATAGCTCAAGTGGTAGAGTGCTAGCCTTCAGCTGAAGAGTGCAGGGACAGTGCCCAAGCCCAGAGTTTAAGCCCCACGACCAAAAAAAAAAAAAAAAAAGATGGCCTGCTTGTTTTTGTTGTTGTTTTGTAGGTTGTGAGGCTTGAACTCCTCTGGGTCTGGGCACTGTCTCTCAGCCCTTCAGCTCAAGGCTAGTGTTCACTACTTGAGTCACAGCACCACTTCTGGTTTTCTGGTGGTTTATTGGAGATAAGAGTTTCAAGGACTTTTCCTGCCTGGGCTTTGAACTGCGATTCTCAGGTCTTAAGTCTCCTGAGTAGCTAGGATGACAGGCACCTAGCTGCTGCTTTTTATCTTCTTAGATTTTTGCCTTCTATATGTGTCATTACTACTAATTATGTTGATTTACTTCTGTGGCTTTGTGTTGTAATTTTATTGAAAACAAGGAGAAACTTCTATAAATCTCCATGAAAATAAAAAATATGCTGACCACATTTAATTCATGTTTTTTTCAGCTGCAATTAGAAGTGGATCGGTTAGAAGAGTTAAAAATGCAAAACCTGAAGAAAGTGATTGAGGCGATTCGAGCAGAAGTGGCTCAGTATTGGGACCAGTGTTTTTACAGCCTGGAGCAGAGACAGGCTTTTTCCCCCTATTATGCTGGTGAGTTCATGGTCTGCTCACTGACTGTTGTAAGCCCAAATCTTCACCAGAAAATTGTTTCCTTTTCTGAATAGACTTACCCAACTCTCAGAAATCTCTGTTAGCCTTGTGCCCGTGGCTCACGCCTGTAATCTTAGCTACTCAGGAGGCTAAAAGTTCAAAGCCAGCCTGGGCAGGAAAGTCCGTGAGACCCTTACCTCCAATGAACCACTAGAAAACCAGAAGTGGTGCTGTGGCTCAAGCGGTAGAGTGCTCACCTTGAGCTGAAGAGCTGAGGGACAGTGCCCAGGCCCAGAGTTCAAGCCCCATGACCAACCAAAAAAAAAAGACATAAGAACACTAAGTACATTTTGACTGGGTTTTATTTCCCAGGGCCTTAGGCTTCTTGTTTGTAGCAGCCTAACCTGGAGGCATACAGCAGGTAAATATATGTCTGCACCCGAAGAAGTCTGAGCCCAAAGAAGTCTAACTCACAAAGCCCCTGGAACTCCAGGTCACTATGAGTTGAACTTAACAGTTCAAATTTAGGCAGTTCCCTGACCCATGCTTCTGTTGTCTAAGCAAGGCAGAAAGAAAGAATATAAAAGAACCCTAAGACAAGACAGGAGATGGACAGATTTTAGAGAATCCTTTCAGTCCCTGGCAGCTGATCATGTCTGGCTTTTGTTCGTTTTGTTTTTTGTGGTGATGGGTTTAGAAAGCAGGATGTCATACAGGCTAGGCAAGAGCTCTACTACCTAGCTACTCCTCGATTTTAAACTGCTGGGTGTGTCTTTTGCAGATAATTTTACAGAAACCCTGCTGCAGCAACATGATGCTGAGGTTGTACGGTTAAAAAACTACTATGAAGCTCACAAGGAACTCTTTGAAGGTGTTCATAAGTGGGAAGAGAGCTGGAGGCTCTTCTTAGAATTTGAGGTACTTCCCTAATTTCTGTTTTTTCCAGAGTGAAATGAAGCATTAATAAAGCATGCCCTGACCCCAGCTGAGGCAGGAGGATTGTGAAATCTAGGCCAACATGGACCTTGTCTCAAAAAAACAAGAAAACGAAAGCTGGGCACTAGTGGCTCACACCTGTAATCCTAGCTACTTTGGAGGCTAAGATCTGAGGATCACTGTTTGAAGCCAGCCAGGCAGCAAATTTATGAGACTCTTCTCCATGAACTGCCAAAAAAAAAAAAAAAAAAGCCAGAAGTAAAGCTTGTTGCTCAAGGTAGTAGAGTGCTAGCCTTGATCAAAAAAAACACAGGCCCACAGCCGGGCACCAGTGGCCCACGCCTGTAATCCTAGCTACTCAGGAGGCTAAGATCTGAGGATCGCAGTTCAAAGCCAGCCCGGGCAGGAAAGACCGTGAGACTCTTTTTTTTTTTGTTGGTCGTGGGGCTTGACTCTGGGCCTGGGCGCTGTCCCTCAGCTCTTCAGCTCAAGGCTAGCGCTCTACCACTTGAGCCACAACACCACTTCCGGCTTTTTAATATTTGCTTATGTGGTGCTGAGGAATTGAACCCAGGGCCTCTGGCATGCAAGGCAAGCGCTCTACCACTGAGTCGCCTTCCCAGCCCTTAAACCTGAATCTTGAACCTGAGTTACCGCTGTATTCATGTATATCCATATCCATAGCATGGCTGTATTCATAGCATGGCTCAAGTTTTAGAACACCTGTCTAGCAGAGCGCATGTCCCTGAATTTAAACATCAGTTCCTCTAAAACAAACCCTCAATTTGTATATAGATAAGAACTATTAAATTTGTAACATTCAGTTGAAATTTCAAATGAAGTATCAGCTGTCTGAACTAAGGGTTAAATGGAAAAAAAAAGTTCAACTCAAAATCTGAATTCTAATCTTAAATCCTGACAGCCTTACAGGTTGTGTTCAGAAGCACCCAATCATGTCTTTTAGAACTGCGTAGAAGGGGCTGGGAAGGTGGCTCAGTGGTAGAGTGCTTGCCTTGCATGCATGAGGCCCTGGTTCTATTCCTCAGCACCACATAAGCAGATTAAGGCAGAAGTAGCACTGTGGCTCAGGTGGTAGAGTGCTAACTCTAAGCTGAAGAGCTCAGGGACAGCGCCCAGACTCAGAGTTCAGGCTCCACAACTGACCAGAAAAAACCAAACTGTAGAAGTGAGCGGTGGTGGTGATGCACATCTATAATCCTAGTACTTGAGGGATGAGGCAGGCAGTCTTGAGTTTGAGGTCAGCTGGGTACACAGTAAGACCTTTTCTCAAAAAGATTGGTGCCGGGCTGGGAAGGTGGCTCACTGGTAGAGCGCTTGCCTTGCATGCATGAGGCCGTGGGTTCGATTCCCAAGCACCACATAAGTAAAAGAAAAAAAGCCGGAAGTGGTGCTGTGGCTCAAGTGGTAGAGCGTTAGCCTTGA